GTGGGCATCTGGCAGAATTTGACTACACTAACAATATTTTTTTGGACCAATCAAAAGGTAGAACAGCGACGCCCGTGTAAGAGCGACGCCCGTGTATCAATTTGCGACGCCCGTGTATCAATTCCCTTTAAAAAATAGCGCGCGGAGCTCGTAAGCTATAAATATAAGTTCGATATTATTATAAATTATTAACTATTACTATTCTTTATAACTAAGCGCTTACTTAACTTATAATAAGCCCGCTAAATTAATATACTAGCGGATTTCAATTTTTAAATTTATTATTACTTAGGGAAGGAGAACGTACTAACTAATGCCTTATTACGGAAAATAGAAAATATTCGTACTTAATAAGTACTAAAAAAGGTTAATAAGACCTAAGTCTTCTTATTATTAGAATTACTATTTCTTAATATTATAATAGAGCTATAAGCGTTATTAAGTACTACTATTAGTTAATTATAGTTCGTAATTAGCTCGCTTATACTAAAGGACGAATTCTAGGGGTACTTATTAATAAAAAAGATTTTAAAGCTTAATAAAGACCTTATTATAATATTTTTTATATTAATATAAGTACTAGTTATTAAAGGGCGCGAGCGCTAGTTTATTTAAAATAACGGATTATTAATAATAAGTAAAAAGCTCGTAGTATTTAAAAAGGAGAACCTCCGTATTATAGTTATTTATAAGGTCTATAAATAAAAGCTCCTTACCTATTTAAAGCGTAATAAAGTTATAAAAATAATTAAATAGTAATATTATTAGCTAGGCCTAATAGTAAATACTTATTAATACGTACGGAACTATTATACTTATTACTAATTATAAAAACTGCGTAATAAGCCCTTAGAGAAGCTAAAACTACTCTTAGTACCTAACTACCCATAATAATATATTTTTATAGACTTTATAACTATCCTTATTAATTAAAAAGAATTTAATAATATCTAAGTAGTAATAAACTACTTAAATAAGAGGGTAATATTTATCCCTTATTATAAAACTACTATAATAAAAAATATAAGCTAAATATTTTATAAGTAAGTACTACTTATTTTTAGCTTATTAAAGACTATTATATCGGACCGAGGCCCCTAATTTATCTCTAATTTCTAAAAGGAGCTCTATAAGATTTACGGGGTTAAGTTATAATTATTAATAGCGGACTATTTATAAATAAATAGCTAAATAGAAATACTAAACTAGTATATCTTATAGTAGTTAAGACTACTAATTAACTAATATTAAAATAACTAGAGTAATATACTACTCATAATTAACTTTATTTATACTACTTAGCTTAGTAAGACTACGGAGTTATTATTATACGAAATAAAATTCGGCCGTTAGCTACGGCTTTTTTTTAATTAGTTAAAACGAACTTATTAATTTAGTTCTATAAAAAAAAAGCTAAACCGTACTAATATATAGTAAATAACTTAAAAAATATACGAGGCTTAAAAAACTACTAAAGATAATATAAAAATTACTTAAGTATAATATAAGAAATATATTAACCGCTACCGGTACCTAGATAACTTAAAGCTAAGAAATTAAGTTTTTATTAATATTTCGTACTAAAAGTCTACTAATATAAATAAGTTATAGTAACTATAAGCCGGATTATAGCTTATTATTAATACCGGTTAGGGGGGTATATAAATTATAAAATTACTAATAAATAGCTAGGTATACCTAGTTTTTTACTTAAATAAGCTAAAAAAGGCTACTAATAATTTATTACCCGGATAGAACTAAGACCTACTATTACTAATTATTAATAATAATAGCGAGCTAGAGTATAAGGTTTTTAAAATTGTTAAGTTATATTTATATAAAAAAAAGCTATAGTACTAAGTAAGTTAAAAAGGGTATAATATAGATCTAACTTAGTATAATATAAAAAGTTTTTAATATATATTAATAGCGCTCTAAGCGTTTTATTATTAATACTTAATTATTAAAGGCCCGCTATAGAACTTAAACTTATAAATAAAAGCTATTATAACTAATAACTTATTATTACTATAAAATAATAATAATATAATAGTAATAATTATAGCTATAGATTTATTAAATTAAGAAGTAATTTAGAGGTTTATTTTTTAGCGCTATAAATAGTACCCTTTAGTATAAAAGGGGGGGTAATATTATAATAATAAGTATTAGGGCTCTATAAGCCCCGTAGTCTTAGCCTTAGGCTACGAAACTAAGCTTTTAATAGTTATATAACGAGCTAGACCGCTAGGCCTAAAGGGCTAGCTCGCTAGCTTCTGCTTACTATTCTATTTTTTCCCTCTTTATATTAAGTCTTTAGTTAATTAGGCTAATATAGCAGCGTTCCGACCTGCCTCGAGTTTCCTTTCGTGACATAATTGCGTTACTTAGGCTAATATATAGGTGACCTAGCCGCTAGAATTAGCCAGAGCTACTTAGTGTAGCGGCTACTTAATTCTACCTATTATTTCCCTGAGCGGGCCTAGTATGGGTGCGGGATAGCTTTCGCGTGGGTGCGGAATAGCCTTACTCCTGAGGCGGTGTCTTGACTCGGGGGGCCACAGAGATCTTCAGGGACCATGGAGGGTGTAACAATGCATCCTCTGGCCGGTGCTTCGACTTGTCGATGAAACTTCGTATGGCGTGTTGTGAACAGTAGCTCGTAGGATTAGACTAGCCGACCAGGCTTGCAAGCATGTTATGCCAACTGATGAGTTCAGATCTAGACCCAAGAAGGTTGTCGATCTTCCTGTCGTCGTTGCGGCTCGCGAATCGTCCAACAGGGAGGGTAGGCCTTGGGGTATAAGGTATTCTGGGGACGGATAGGTAAAACCTACGAAAGCCACATCGGCCTTTTTTGCCATTCGCAACGAGTTGCTCCTGGAACTGTAGACTCTTTGACTATAGAGCAACTTGACGTGCCTTGATCAACAGCTCAGCTGTACATGTCGGGCAGAGGTCGACCGGTGTAAAGTAATCGCTTGATTATCATAGTCATATCGTGGCAGGCAACTCATACAACCACGGTGATGCCTCCAACGTACCCAGTGATGATGGTCTTGATGTCGACGTTGATAATGTTGTTTCATTATGGTTGTTTGCTTCGCATATCTCGCATGATCCAGACAGCTAGAATCATGAGATTGGGGCGGCTTTGATGGCGGCGAACCCGAGAGTATCGATCCGTGTCAGAGGTGTACCTACTGAGGATAAGAATGAGGTTGCAGACGCGGCCTCTCCCTCTAGGTACGGGCTGTTTTTGGTGTGCATGGTAACACACGAACGGTAAGACGTGCATGGATGACCAGGCAAGGGAGAGGCGAAGTGGTCCTGAGAGGCCCGAAAGCAACGAAACAAGGGCCCTCCAGAGGGCGCATTGATCGCCGTCTGGCGACAGTCCTTCTTGTTCATAGGCAAGACATGTGGCGTCGGAGAGTGGGAAGCTGGAGTTTCGTTGTAGAACTGGTTGAAATGGACCGTCTTTGGCAACAGGCGACAAGGTAAGAGGTGAGTAGCAAAAGCGATGAATTTTGCTTTGGGTAGGGTGACTGAGAAGTCATGGTTTGAGATAGCTGTAGCCGCAGCTTGATGCAGAGATCGAACTGCCAAATAAGATGTCAGTATCAGGCCATATTGACGCTTGGAGGTGGTGATGGGAGAATAGAGTTTGGGCCTTGCACGCCTGGATGGTTAGTGTCGTGAACGACGGTTGGGAGCCACTGGGAAGTATAGCCTTGGTAGATGAGCAGAGTTGCTGCGTAGAATAAGTAGAGTGGTAGAAGACATGTGGCTAAGCAGGGAGGTTGCTCGCTCGATATCATGTGTAAGGTTACTTGCTTGGACGGGGAGGCAGGGTCAGGCAGCTGAGAGGGGGCAGATGAGGAGGCAATGGAAGAGAGCGAAGAAGGAGAACCCTAGAGCACCAGGGGACGTGGGACACTCGTACGGCGGCGTTGAAGGCCGTGGAGGCGTACGCAGTAGGAGGGATACAGGATGAGACGAGCGTCTGAGCTGGCTTGCCCTGCTGGTGAACAGCGGTGTGTCTGCCCTATGCGTTGCCCCGCGGGCTGCTGCATGGCTGACATGTGTGCGTGTGCGTATGCGCGTGCGTGTTGGGTGGGCGAGTACGAGATGCGCTGTGAACGTTTATTCATATGCGAGCTCAACGACTCGGGAACGATTGTGGGTGGGAGGTGGTGGCTGCATGGGTGAGCGAGGTGCAGTAAGGCAAGGTAGGCAACCTAAACCAACCGCAGGGTAACGGAACTGCGTCCGTGGAATGACAAGAGTTGCCAGGGGCCGTGGTTGGAACTTTGAGGAATTTAGATTTGATATTGACAGAAAAAGCTAGCAATGAGGTCGTCACTCTGTCATCCAATTGGCAGATGAGCCATGTCCGTGAGTGAGGCTTCGATTGTGACGGTCATCTCGCAACTTGGACGGATCCCACAGCGACGGGCGCTTGGCCGGAGTTGGGAATGAATCGCGGAAGGACAGCCGTGAGGTAGGTATCAAGACATGGATCGGATCCAATGCCGTAGTCGGAGCATAAGGCAGATGCATAACACGGTGATGGGTGGTCTACTACAGGAATGGACATACAACATGGGTGACAAGTGAGGTACCTTGGTGTAGGTAGGTAGAATAGAAAAGAGGCAAAGATGCCCAACCAGAGCTGGCAACTCGTTCAATCGAGCAATGGGACGCCACGATGTGACAACGAGCAAGCAATAATAGCAACTGAACGGTAGCGCAGCAGCAGCCGCTTCAGCAGCCGCGCTGCAATGGAGTTCTGAAGCTGGACCTTGCGTGCCGCGCCGTGCCAAGATGAAGTGAGACTGAGGTCGGGGTATGAACAAGCAGAGAGAAGACATTAACTGACTAAGGTGAAAGAAAGCCAGTGTTTCGTTCTCTGTGCTTCGTATCCCGTATCACTTCGGATACATGTGCTCGGAGGTTCATGAGCCCATGAAGTCCATGTTGAGATGAGAGAAGGAGGTCTGGTCTAAGGTCTGACCTACCCGTAGGGACCGTAGTGCAGTATAGTGTAGTGCAGTGACTGGTCTCTGGTCTCTAGTCTGAGGAAGAAGAATATCGGAAATGACATTGGGCAGCGAGTGTCAGAGTCGTATTACTCTTTGAGAATGTGTAGTCTGTTCCCCTGCCAGCCCGTACCTGGGACGGTGACACTGACCTCTGTTCAGCTCTGGCGTTGCGAGTCGCGAGTCCGTTCCTTGCGAGGTGGACGAGGGCGAGTGGACGGTTGATGTTGAGATGTGCTGTCGTTTCTCGTCTCTCATCTCTTGGTGTACGCAGTACGATGTTGGGTGGAATGCGAACGGACGATAGGACGATACTTGAGATGTCGCAGGTGATTAGCGGGAGGTGGCAAGTCCCGAGATAGCATCGCTTAGCACCTGCCCTGAGGTGGGCAGACCTGAGGAGGTGAGGTGCACTACGGATTGAGATATACAAACAGACTAGCCCAGAAGGAGGAGGTACGGTGGTCCGTACCTACCTACGTAGTAAGTACTTACTCCATGATGTGGGAGGGGACCTTCCATCTTCCCCCAAACATGTCAGCCACTTACAGTTAGAAAAACCAATCATGGAATTACCCATCGCCCCACCCCTCCCAGATCAGGTGTCATCCCTGCCCTGCCCACTACCATCTACCCGACATCTTGTGCAGGTGGTCCGTGAGCATGTTCCTACCTGCTACCCCACCTTCCCAGTACCTCAGCGCCTCACCAACACTTCACACCTCCAGTCAGGAGGACCGCTTCAAGGAACCTCAGACGCTAAAAATGAAGATATTGTCACTCACACCTACCGCGCTAAGTATCGGGGAACCAAACACTTTGAGTCCCTCGAAACAGCCCGGGCAACCAAAGCTCTGCCGGGCAGAATTTTTGAGACTCAGAAGAAGAAGAAAAAAAATCACGTATGCCTTGGTGCATTGGCAACATACCTATGGTTGGTACAAGGTACCTATCTGAACGTGTGATGGGAGCATGTCGATATGGACGTGTTGGTTATCTTTGAAGCATCCAGCCTGTCGCTACCTTTAGTGTTTATCTTCACTCCGTAAAGAGACAGGAGGAAAGACATACGGAAGTACGAAGCTCCTGATGCTCTTTCACTTGGATAGGTAGGCTTCCCGGTCTGAGCGGCACTCCTGGTGGTCCATCTCTGAGACTTTGGCAAGTCTATTCGTAGGTATCCGTACTCAGGTACTTGGAAGCTAGCCCGGCCAACTACTTACCCACTTTCGCTCGCCCACTCAACCGCACCTCAGCGCGCTACGCTTCGGCAGAGCGACGGAAGCGAGTCCTGGAGCGGGTCTAATCCCCGGAAAAGCCCACATCCACCTGCTAGTGAAGTAAGGTACTCTGAGTACCTTGTTATCGAAGAAAGTTAATTCTTTCTGAGTCACAAGTACAAGAATACAGTTTTAATAAAACAGTGTAGTGCCCACCCAGCACTTGAATTGAGATGCTTTTTCAAGCTTGCCATGA